TCGATTTCTACAAGTTCAGTGTTCAAAAGAAGTCCTTGTGAAACTCTGAATATAAGTCATGTCTTGTTTGTTTATTAATGTCTAAGTTGTAATTTACTGATTCATATCTATCAAAAGAAGTGTTACTAACATGTGTACTAACTGAAACTAAAGGACATTCAGCAGTTTTTTCTAAATTTCTTCACTGTTAAAAATGAGAGGTCAGCTCAACTCAAAATGATATAGTAACTGATTACGTGGCTTTTCTTGAGTTGACTCAACTTGAGGACGCAAGAGTTCACACAGCTCAAACTTCTTAGTTGAGTCAAAAGTTCTCTTAATATCTTAGTTCTGGGTCATTCTACAGAAACGTCCACTTTTTATCTATTCATAGGAGTCACTGGTGTTACTGAATGTCATTGGGCATAAGATTGAGCATAAGAAAGGTGACACCAGAGACATTTTTAATTAAAAATGCATTTTACAAAATGCAAAATGCTGCTACAGAGCATCAGACCACATGTTGCCAATCATGGAATATCCACTAAAATATGTAAATTAATCCATTTGTATTCTATTTTTTAACCTTTTCTATTATCTAAAATTAAAGTCGGTCACACCAGTGACTCCAACTAAAAGCTTCATATGAATTCATGAGCTAAATGAGAAAATTTCTGATAACTGAAAGACACAGTGGACACAGTGGAACCATGTGCTTTTCTTCATAGATCCTCAGAAAATAGGTAAAAGGAAGTCAAGGGACATCAGTGTGATTTTTATTTCAAATAAAAAAAATAATAATTTTTTGTTATGCAGTAACACCAGTGAGACGACTCCTGGGGACAACAACCTTCATTATATATTTTATAATATTTATTTGGCATTTGTTTTCTTTGTCATTTAAATCATATATTTCATAGTCATGTATAGATTATTGCAGTTAAAATTGCAGAAAAATGTTTTTACCTCAAAATATGGCCTCAGCCTTTACACACGACTGTGAGGAAGAGCACTTCTGTGGTGCTTGGAATTCTAGATAATTGATTTTGAAATCAATATTGCTAAATTGACGGCTCAAGAAGGTGTAATTGTTAATGACTTATAGTTTTATTTTAAAATATAAATCAATTGTAGCCCTAACATGTTTTTTTAAGTGTAATATATCTGTAAATGCTAGGGACACAAAAATGGACGTTTCCATAGAATGACTCTTCTGCATCTCAGTTGGGTAAATAAAATGAACATGTTTTTCATACTCAGTTTCTCCCACTAGCCAGGATTCTTTCCATCACACAATACTGCTAGACATTTTTCCTCACTTATGGATGGCTGTGGCATTACTAGGGCTTAAACCCACAACCTCCTGTTGGGGTGACGGCTTAGTCCACTGCACCACTCAGAAACACATGGAGCAACTCAGAGTTTGTGTCTACAAATGTTTAATTCACTGGAGAAAATATTGGTTGTTTTAACTTTAAAGCAAGGCATCGTCTCATGTGGTGCAGCTGTCTAGTAATTCATCCCAACATCAGGAGATGGTGAGCTGTCCATGTCTGGAAGACCAAGAGGAAAGTATGCCAGGTGGGACCGTGTGATAGAAGGAGTGCCAGCTAGTGGGGAAACTGAGTAAAAAAAAACACAAATTTGGTCTGAGATGCAGACCTACAAACAGTAGCTGAGAGAATTTTGACTCAACTAAGAAGTCTGAGTTGTGTGAGCTCTGGTGTCCTCAGGTTGAGTCAACTCAAGAAAAGCTATGTAATCAGTTATTATATCATTTTAAGTTAAGCAGACTTGTTTATAATTAAATCATTACGATGTGAATGATGTTGTTCAGGATGGTTTGAAGTCAAATGCTCCTTTTTAAAAAACCTGTTGAGTCAGACTTGATAGGAACCAGACGTCTGAGGAGTTTATTGCTTCTACAAGCTCCCTCACAGAAAGTTACTGCAAGAAATAGTTTGAATACACAGCCTGATGCCTGAGACACTGTGTTACGATAGTTTAGAATACTTTTAAAACTTTTTTTCCAACCTCTTAAATGGACAGAGCCCACCAGCAGGCCCAAAGTTTTATTACACTTCTATAACCTAAAAAATAGCTCAGCCAGTTTGCGTTGAGGTCCCTGTAGTTACTGAGTAATAAGCTATAGTATGTAATAAGCCTGGGATTTTAAGGGACAAATTTATTTGTGGCAGTGAAATACATGCAGTGTTGTAAGGCGAAATAGTCCCCAAAGAAATACAGATTCACTGGTCATTTGAATAGTAAAAAAATGCAAAGGTTTGCAATAGAAATTGTGATTCCTGGTTCCCATCACCATCACTGTAGAGACAACTGTGTTGCTAAGTTTCTCTACAATGAACCGTTTCACGTCAAACCACTTTGAATGACTGTTTACATCTCAACAATTGAATTGAAATTGTGAAAAAAATCAATGGGATTCTCCTTTAAGTAAGGCAATCAAAAGTGATCAAATATTAGTTAATCCCCCATCCTTAGTTTTCTACCAGTTTTACAAAAAATCTGCCTATTTAAATGCTCCGCATGCACCTTCCCTGTTTATAGCACTCAGACAGAAAAGTGTGGATCGCTCGCATAGAAGTTCAGAGTTGCTATTTATTGTGTTCATTGTTGAGGTTCAATTCTTTTGCAACGAGGGCTTTCATTGTTTCATGCTTGCGGGATTTGTGGTGGAGGGGGGTACATTTCTGTAAGCGTCATCTGGAGCTCATTTCTTTTGTGATGTTTAAATATCCAACAGGATTTCATGCCTTGGTACATTCTGCCCTTCTGTGACACAAACAAGTAGTTGCTGTTTGTCTTAGGCGATTGTTGCAAAGTGCTGATGAAATGGCCCTCGCTCAGATGCAGCGCCTTTATTTTCCAATTTCAAAGACTTGATTTCAGAATGTTTTAGGTCGGAGTGCCAGATTACCAGAAAGAAATGTGACAGTCCTGAAAATGATCCGCTCTACAGCTCAGAACCCCTTCTCTCTCTCTCTCTCTCTCTCCCTTTTGTATCCTCCTATTCTGAGTCTATAAAGAACAGCAGTGGTCATATTGCTCCGATTACTCTAAGCTTTCTGTTTCTGTCTCAGAGGCGCTTCTTCTCACAGAAACCTCAGCCTTTAAAAATTCCACTTCATCAGCATCACCAGAACTAGACACTGGTGTGTCCTTATGGTCAGAGTTGAACGTGCTATGTGTTGTGCTTGTGCTGTTAATTGCCAGTTTGTCCTGTGCACATCTGTTTCCAGAGCTGAACTAGGAACTAAATTCAGCCCTGGACTTTTGTCCAGACCAGCCCATTTCAACCACAGTGACCTCCCCACTACAACAATCCCTGAAACCACAGCCATGTATAAAAGTGGTGGCCAAGGCAGTTTTAAGGGTTCCAGAGTCTATAAACCCACCCAACAATATGTGTAATTATTAAAAATGACCCAGAAAACAAGATGAAGGTCTGTTCCACTTGTTCGTTTTTAAAGTGAACAGAGGTCTGTTTTATCTCAGCACAGCCATCGTTGTGGAGAGATGTGAAGTGGTTTCACAGCAAGGGGTTCTCACCCCTCCAGGTTCACCCCTCATTGGTCTCTAGCAGCTCAACTGATTCACAATATTTCACACTGAGAGAGCCAATAGAGTCCTAGTTAATCTGACAACAGAGGTATATGGAAAATGTTCATTTTATTTTATTGTATTAATAAAAAATATCAATAGTCAGTTTCCACTTCACAAGTGGAATGGCCACTAGGGGACCTCCAGAATAAGATTATATGAACAGACAGGATGAATACATCAGACATCAGAAATGATTGCTTATGTTTCATCAGTGATGTGACATGACATGTATGCATGTGAGGTTTTGCTCTGACAGCAGCAGTAAATATACAGGAGAAGGAAAAACTATTTTGCTACTAATGTAAGTCAATGGAACCAGACTTTTTCCAAGTATTTTGGGCCATTTCTATCAGTTCATTCACTATGAAATTTACACAATGTAAATTATTGTAAAATTTGACTTGACTTTAACTTTGAAATTATGTCAAAACCAAAAAACGGCAAAAATGGAGATACAAGGTTTTCTTCCAAAAGCAGCTATGTGTGTGTGTGTGTGTGTTTATATATATATATATATATGTTTCCAAAACTGGACTTGGAACTAAACAGCCCTGGACTTTTGTCCAGACCAGTCCACCACAACCACAGTGACCTCCCCACCACCACGATTCCCAAAACCACAGCCATGTATGAATGTGGTGGTCAAGGCAGTTATAAGGGTTCCAGAGTCTATAAACCCACCTAACAATATGTGTAATTATTAAAAATGATCCAGAAAACAAGATGAAGGTCTGTCCCACTTGTTCGTTTTTAAAGCGAACAGAGGTCTGTTTTATCTCAGCACGGCCATCTTTGTTGAGAGATGTGAATTGGTTTCACAGCAGGGGTTCTCACCCCTCCCGTTTCAGTAAAAAGAAAAATTCAGTAAAAATAACAAAGATTGCTATGTTGTAAACTAGTTACAATCTTGCTCCTTGACACCTCCAGAACTTGCCTTCATTCATCATTTAAATTATTAAAGAATTGATTAGCCAAGGCAGACATTGTTTGATAACTACAAGTAATACTGGGCTGGAAATAAAAACATGTTTTTTCCTCAATATGTTAAATTCAAATGATTACAAATCAACAAAGAACATTTAGATATAACTGGACAGCAGTTTCGAATGAAACTGTATATCATTTATTTGAATGCCTGAAGGTTTTGTATGTGAAATACTGCCACTATTCGTCCAAGTTAAGTCTTCACATTCCTGTTCTGTGCCTTTGAGCTTCCTCTAAGGTCTGACATTTGACCAAACAAAAAGAAAATACATGCAAAAAGTGTTGTCTCCAGTGCATTGTCCATGGCCAAGAGGAAGACTTTGTGTAGAAATATGAGTGATCATGTGAGGTCATGAAGTGCATACATGAATGTGGCTCTCATTTCTTCTCCTGTGTTGTGTGTTTTGTTGCAGGTTCTGACATCGTGCAGTGGATGATCAAAAACCTAAACATCGATGATCAAGGTAAAGCGAGCTGCACGGGGTCTGTATTGTGTTTGTCGTGTTGAACCTGATGACCCTGATTGTTTTCAGCCATTTCCCTGAGTCACCCTGCACAGCATGAGGAGAGAAAACTCGAGCTGCTCAGCTCTGACCTTGAATGTCCTCAGATTTAATGAGGCGGTGTGTGCATTTCTCTATTTCTCCCTCTTTCTGTGTTTCTATGCGTATCACTCTCTCAGTCTCTTACTGACTTCACTTCTAGACAAGGTCTTCCCAAAATTTCCTCTGCATTGCAGATTTGCCGATTTTTGGATAACATTTTATAATAACAGCCCTTAATAAACAGCAGCTCAATTACCATCTAATCGTTTGCTAATGACAGCTTGTAATTAGATAATAGTTATATGCTATGCATTTTATTATGTATTATATTCAAATGGTGCCATGTGAATTATTTAATTATAAACAGTCATTAACAATCTATTAGATAATGATTTAGTTGCTATTTATAGTGACCCATTATTAAAAAGTGGTTGCTTGTTTTTGTGATAAGGTGTTTTTGAGGATTTGAGAATGTAGAAACTTCACATTGTGAGCCGTATTTTAGATTATTTAGGTTTACTGAGTAGGCATCATATTTCTACACTTACTAGCCAAATTATTAGAAAAGCTTAAAATCACTTTACTATTATACAGTCACATGCAAAAGTTTGGGTGCCCCTGTTCAAATGACGTTTTGTTGTTTTTCTAAGTGAAAATAAGTCGAATACCCCATCCTTAACATACTTCTGCACATTTTAATACACAATTACTGTTTGCTTGCTGAATTTAAAAAGCTGAATTTAACATACTGGGGGAAAATCTAATGTTGGTCTGTGCAAAAGTATGTAATAATAACACATTTTATATTTTTATTCTGTTTTATTTATATTTTGAACTATAAATAGAAAAGAAAACCCATTGTGGTTTAGTGGTTATCAATCTGGATGATTGACCACAGGGTTGTGGGTTCAATACCTGGGCCCACTAGGGACCGGGACCTTGGGTCTTTGCACAAAGCACTTAACCCTCTCTGCTCCAGGAGTGCTGTATCATGACTGACCCTGTGCTCTGACCCCAGCTTAATTAAGCTGGAACATAAAAAAAAAAAAAGAGTTTTGTTGTACTGTGCGAGCATAATGACAATAAAGGTACTTAATTTAGAGTTTATGTTAACATACTTAGAAAATCAACCAAACATATCATTGACCAGGGGTGCTCAAACCTTTGCATACAAACTGTACAGGCATCCCTTGTAGCTCCACCTTGCTGGTATACAGTTACAGACTGCAGCCCATCTGATGATGCACAGTTTATGTTCTTCATCAAGCGTCAGCTTCTGACCACAGAGGCACTTTTGTCTGGATATTTTTGGCTGGTAGTTAATCTAGTCTCACAGAGCCAGGTGTGATCTTGTAATGACAGTACATGTCTGGGGACGAACTTTCATGTTGGATTGAGGTGGAATCTGCTGGAAAAGGTTCACCCCTCCAAACCCGCCCCAAATTCCTCTGGTCTGTGCAGATTTAATGTCCAGAGTACAGTTGATAACACAAGCAAAACAAGCTTTTTAAATGCTATTGTTAACGTTCTCTTGCTAGAGGTAATGTTTATTTTTAACACATATAAATTAATATGTTCTCTACACATGGACTCATATCTGGTGTCGACCAGAGGGAGATGGGTTCCCCTTTTGAGTCTTGGTTCATCTTGGTTTCTTCCTCTTGCTACAGGCTTGTTGTTCCACCTTCATGAAACATTGGATAGGTTTAGAAAGTTTACACTCAGTTTATTCCCACCCTAATAAGAATAGACTCTTAGGGAAGATGGTTGTTTGAGGGTTCTTTCGTAAAGAAAATGGTTCTATATAGAACCATGGACACTCAAAGAACCCTTTGCATGATTAAAGCCTTCTTTGAATCATAAAATAGTTCTTCAGGATGAAGAAAGTGCTCTAGATGGTTCTGTATAGAACCTTTTTGAAAAGGGTTCTATATAGCACCAAAAAGGGCTCTTCTATTGTAATAAGCTTGTATCATAACAATACCAGAACACATTTTTGGTGCTATAGAGAACCCTTTTCCAAAAGGTTCTGTGTAGAACCATATACAGCTTATTCTCCATCAATCTGAAGAACCATTTCACAAAGCAAAGAACGCTTTAATGATGCAAAGGGTTCTATGAGTTTGTGGTTCTATTTAGAACATTTTTCTTTACTAAAGAACCATTGAAGAACCGTCATTTTCAAGAGTGTACATTCAAACCAACAATGTTTTTCATAGTTGTCCCCAGATGTTCTCACATCTGGCCCCGTGAGACCGTCTCAGAGTCACTGCTGTGCTGAGAATGGTCCACCACCCAAATAATATCTGATCAACAGCTGTCTTGCACTCAGAAACTGAGTGTGTTTACATGCATTTAAAAATCCTGCAGTTATCTGATTATTCAGATGGTCGTGTAAACACCATACTCCAATTTAGAAATCCGATTAAGAAATCTGATAAAGAGAGCTGGATTTTATCTCAGTAGTCAGATTTCTCAGTGCATGTAAACTCTTACTCTGATTTCTTTCGCATTTCTCAGTCTCCGCATGTGCGAAAACAGTCAGCGGTGCCAGAAATAAGTAAGTAGCGTCGCCGCAAGACGCAGCAAAACACTTTTAAAGCAGAAACCAAACATGAAATGAAGGATTTAAATATTCTTCATCTTCATCTTCTAGATGATGTATGTTCATATTTTCAGGTAAAGTGGTGCGATGTTTTTGTAAAAAAATGCCGTGCCATGAAGTTTGAGTTTTACGTTACGTTTACCTCACGTCTTCTTCTGTGAGTTTATTGGCTGGTTGTAAAGCAGAAATCTGATTACTGTCTGATTCATATAGACCCAGAGTTCCCCATTATCTGACTACTCAAGTGCATGTAAATGTGTTGATCGGATTACTAACAAAATCTGAATTTCTGCAGTTATTGGGTTTTGAAGTGCATGTAAACGCACTCATTGATGAATGGGGCAGGCTGGGGATGATAAATTGTACATCGACAGGTGGGCTACAGTCTGTAATTGTACACCTATAAAGTGGAGCTATAAGGTAAATGGAGCCCATGAAGTGAACAGCGAGTGGAGACACATGGTAGGAGTTTCTAATGAAGTGGTCACTCTTTGTATAGTGTAATAGAATAAGACTCTACCCTGTAATCTGTATCACTGGAGGGGGAAGATTTGGTTTCTGAGCTACCAGCTTATTTTTGGATGATGATCATTTTGTTTGTTTTGTCTATAATATGGATACAGTCTCATCTCATTTACATAAGCACGCACACACACACACACACACACATACACACTCAGCGTGCCCTGTTTCTGCCTCATTCTCTCTCTCCCCATTTGGTAGGAGAGCTAACTGCTGCCAAGCACAAAATCAGGGAGAGAGAGAGATCAAGAGAAGGACAAACACAGAGAGAAGAAAGAAAGAGTGAAGGGAGAGAGAGAGAAGAAAGAAAGAATGAAGAGAGTGAAAGAAAGAGACATAAAGAGAATGACAAACGCAGAGAGAAGAAAGACTGAAGATAGAGAGAGAGACATAAAGAGAAAGAAACAGAGAGAAAGACAAAGAGAAAGACAAACACAAAGAGAAGAAAGAGAGTAAAGAGAGAGAGACATAAAGAGAGAAACACAGAGAGAAGAAAGACTGAAGAGAGAGAGAGAAGAAAGACTGAAGAGAGTGAGAGAAAGAGAGAGAGAAAGAGACATAAAGAGAAAGACAAACACAGAGAAGAAAGAGAGTAAAGAGAGAGAGACATAAAGAGAAAGACAAACAGAGAAGAAAGAATGAGAGAGAGAAAGATATAAAGAGAGACAAACACAGAGAGAAGAAAGACTGAAAAGAGAGAGAGACATAAAGAGGAAGAAACAAAGAGAGACATAAAGAGAAAGACAAACAGAGAGAAGAAAGAATGAGAGAGAGAGACATAAAGACAAAGAAACAGAGAGAGAGGGAGAGAGATTGAGAGAGAGAGAGAGAGAGAGAGAAGAAAAAAGGAGTGAAGAGAGAGAGAGGGGGAGATAAAGAGAAAGACCAACACAGAGATAGAGAAGAAAGAAAAAAATGGGGAGAGAGAGAGAGAGAGAGGTACTACTATTGAGAGTAGAACTGTCTGTCTTATGAGGGGCCGTTTAGGGTGAAATACACAAACACTTGTACACACAGACACACATTACTTGCACATACACACACATATAATCACACATACTACTCCTAAGTAAGTGTGTGAATGATTGTACACAGGCTGTTTGGTGTGTGCACAGCAGTTTTCAATCTGCTCATAAGTCATTAGAAAATTAGAAAATGAAAAAGTAAGGAAATGAGAGCACGTTCAGCAGCACAAAGGAAAAACGTTTCCTTTTTAAGGGGGGAACAAACTACTGCTCCTATCAGTTTTGATCAGCCTTTGTTGCTGGAGACAGTGTGGATACTTTAACATGGTTCTACCGAGTCCTAAGCTGTGTAGAATCCATACAAGATGACCCGCTGCTGTGAGAGCTTCATAGGTGTGTGGAAGCACTGTGTTTAGTGTGTGTGTGCGTATGTGTGAGTAGTGTGTGCAAGTGTTTCAGTGTATATCACCCTAAATGACCCTCCTCCCATACTTCTCTCCTTTTTCTCTCTGACTCATTCACTGCCTCTACCCCACCCTCCCTCACATTTGTTTCCCCCCCCCGCGCGGCAGCCTTAAGGCACAATATCTCTCACACGCACACGCCTATTTCCGTCTCCGGGTTGAGGTCCTGATGCTGTGAGGTCATGTTGAGGTCATCATGCTGTAATGTGTCACCTAGGCTGCGTTTACACACGGCTACAAAGACTTAGAGCACCTCACCTCTACATTCATCTTTCTTTCTCTCTCTCTCTCTCTCTCTTCTCTCTCTCTCTCTCAACATGGCCAGCAACGTCTGTGTGATGCCTTTGCTTTTATCATAGATAC